CCACATGCCGCGGAGCGGCTGGGTCCGTGAGCCATGGCCGCTGAGCCTGCGCGTCCGGAGCCTGTGCTCCGCAACGGGAGAGGCCACAACAGTGAGAGGCCCGCGTATGCAAAAAAAAAAAAAAAAAAAAAACAAAAAAAAAAAAAACAACAAAAAAACCACTGTGGTATTGGCACAAAAACAGACTTATGGATCAATGCAACAAGATAGAGAGCCCAGAAATAAACCCACACACCTATTATCAATTAATGTACGACAAAGGAAATAAGAATATACAATGGAGAAATGACCATCTCTTCAACAAGTGGTGTTGGGAAAGCTGGACAGCTAAAGCTGGATGTAAATCAATGAAATTAGAACATTTCCTCACACCATATGCAAAAGTAAAGTCAAAATTGTTTAAAGACCTAAATGTAAGACATGACACCATATAACTCCTAGAAGAGAACATAGGCAGAACATAATTTAACATAGGTTGTAGCAATATTTTCTTAGATCAGTCGCCCAAGGTAAAAGAAATAAAAGCAAAAGTAAACAAATGGGACATAACCAAACTTAAAAGCTTTTACACAGCAAAGGAAACCATCAACAAAATGAAAAGACAACCTATGGAATGGGGGAAAACAATTGCAAATGATGCAACCAACAGGGGGTTAATATCCAAAATGTATAAGCAGCTCATACAACTCAATAGTGAAGAAACAAAAAACTACATCCAAAAATGGGCGAAGACCTAAACAGACATTTTTCCAAAGAAGACACATGAAAAGATGCTCAACATTGCTAATTATTAGAGAAATGCAAATCAAAACCACAATGGGGAATCACCTCACACCTGTCAGAATGGCTATCATTAAAAAGTCTACAAATAATAAATGATGGAGAGGGTGTGGAGAAAATAAAACCCTCCTGCTGTTGGTGGGAATGTAAATTGGTGCAGCCACTATGGAAGACAGTACAGAGGTTCCTTCAAAACTAAAATTAGAGCTACCATATGATCCAGCAATCCCACTCCTGGGCATATATCTGGAAAATGTGGAAACTCAAATTTGAAAAGATACATGCACCCCAATGTTCACAGTAGTACTATTTACAATAGCCAAGGGATGGAAACAACCCAAGTGTCCATCAACAGAGGAGTGGATAATGAAGATGTGGTATATATATATACATATATATATATATATATATATATATATATACATACACACAATGGAATATTACTCAGGCATAAAAATGAATGAAATATTGCCATTGGCAGCAACATGGATGGACCAAGAGAATTTTATACTTAGTGAAGTAAGTCAGAGAAAGACAAATAATATATCACATGTGGGATCTAAAAAATAATACAAATGAATCTATATACAAAACAGAAAGAGACTCACAGATATAGAAAACAAACTTATGGTTATCAAGGGGAGAGGGAGGGCAGGGGAGGGACAAGTTAGGAGTATGGGATTAACAGATACAGACTACTACACCTAAAATACATAAGCAACAAAAATTTACTGTATAACACAAGGAATTCACTATCTTGTAATAATCTATAATGGAATATATAAAAAATGAATCACTATGCTACACACCTGAAACTAACAAAATATTGTAAATCAACTCTACTTAAATTTTTAAAAAAAGTTATTTTGAAGTGAATGAAAATGAAAATAAAACACATCAAAATTTGTGGGATTCCACTAAAAGCTGTAGTTAGGGGAAATTTTACAGTACTAAATGCTTGTATTAGAAGAGAAAATGTTTTCAAATCAATGATCTCAACTTCCACCTTGAGAAACTAGAAAAAAAAAAAAAAGAAACCTGAAGTAGGCAGAAGAAAGGGAATACAGATCAGAATGGAAATCTATGAATAGAAAACCAAAGCAAAAAAATTAGAGAAAATCAATTAAATGAAACACTGATTCTTTGAAGCTCAACAAAATTGATAACTCTTCAGCAAGATTTATCAGGAAAAAGAGAGAAGACACATATGGTCATTATCAGCAATAAGAAATGTGACATCACTACAGATTCTATAGATACATGAAAGGATAACAAGGGAATATTATGTATAATTTTACAACAATAAATCTGACAACTTAGATGAAATGGACAAATTCCTTGAAAGACACAAACTACTCAAGTTCACTCAAGAAGAAATAGGTAACTGGACTATCTTGACATCTATTTTAAAGAAGTAAAATCTGTAGGTAAAAACCTTCTCACAAAATAACTCCAGGCCCAGATGGCTTCACTGATGAATTCTATAAAATATTTAAGGAAAAAATAATATTACTTCTACACAAACTCTTCTAGAAAGTAAAGGAGGAGGGAATATATCCCAACTCATTTAATGAGTTGAGTATTACCCTGATACCAGGGCAGACAAAGATATTAACAGGTAAAGAAAACTACAGGCCAGTATTCTTCACAAACATAGATGCAAAAATCTGAAACAAAATTTTAGCCAATTGAATTCAACAATATATGAAAAAGATAAACATTCTGACCAAGGGAGGTTTATTCTAAGAGTGCGGGGTTACTTTAACATTTAAGAAATAAAAAATCATATGATCATCTCAACAGATGTATAAAAGGCATTTGACAAAATCCAGCATTCATTCATATATTCATTGCCACAGATCAAGTATTCTGAATCAGAATCCTGTCAATCCTTTGTTTGAAACTTTCCCATTGCTTCCCATTGCCCATAGTGAAGTCTACATAGTCTGGTGTTCAATGCTCACTGTGATCTGTCTCCAACCCTGACGCCTACAACCCTGTTATACCTCTTCATGCACTGCTCAGTACAGCCATGCTTATACTCATATCTGATCTTAGCTTTTCTGCCTCCTTCATTTTGTTTATGCTGCTCCTTTGTTCAGCCCTGGCTGTGCATTAGAATTTCCATGGCATTTAAAACAAAAACCAAAAAACCAAAATACGATGCCCAATTCCACTAGAAATTTTGATTCAAAGAGTCTGGTGTAGAGTCAGGACAATCCCCAGGTGATTCAATTTTGTGGGTAGAGTTGAAAACCAATGGTCTAGAATATTCTCAGAGACTCCAAATTTGCATATCCAAAATGTACTTATCTTTCCAAGATGTTTTCCATGATAACTCCTTCACAAAATCTTCCCAGACCATCTCTGCTGGGAAGAAAGCTATCCTCTGAATGCCTTATCACTTTACTTCCTTCTCTCTTGATCCTTACCTGAAGGTCTTCATGATCTGCTTGAGTAAAGTTTCTTAAAACCATATTCATAAGTTTTTTTTGAAGTTTTGCTGAAAATAAGTCATCATTTTTAACATGGTAAGTACTGTATGAATAATTTGATGAAGTGCTTTTAGATGGTTGAGAGAACACTTGGGTATTCACTACAATTAAGTGGCAAAAGTGGTTGATTTTAGGAAATCTGACATAAGGGGGAAAAGGTTTCCTTTATGTTTGACCCTTAACTTTGGCTAACAACTTCTTTTAGTCCTCAAACACCCTCTATCAACATATGCTTATCACTAATGGGCAGAAGATGTAAATATACATTTGTCCAAAGAAGACATATAGATGCCAAAAGGCACACGAAAAGATGCTCATCATCACTAATTATTAGAGAAATGCAAATCAAAACTGCAGTGAGGTACCACCTCACACCGGTCAGAATGGCCATAACTAAAAAGTCTACAAATAATAAATGTTGGAGAGGGTGTGAAGAAAAGGGAACCCTCACACACTGTTGGTGGGAATGTAAATTGGTGCAGCCATTATGGAAAACAGTATGGAGATACCTCAAAAAAATAAAAATAGAGTTGCCATATGATCCAGCAATCCCACTCCTGGGCATATATCCAGACAAAACTATAATTCAAAGAGAAACATGCACCCCAATGTTCATAGCAGCACTATTTACAATAGCCAAGGCATGGAAACAACCTAAATGTCCATTGACAGATGAATGGATATAGAAGATGTGGGGTATCTATTTATCTATCTATCTATCTATACATCAGCCATAAAAAAAGAATGAAATAATGCCATATGCAGCAACATGGATGGACTGAGAGATTATCATACTAAGTGAAGTAAGTCAGAAAGAGAAAGATAAATACCATATGGTATCACTTATATGTGGAATCTAAAGTATGACACAAATGAACGTATCTATGAAACATAAACGAATTCACAGACATAGGGAACAGACTTTTGGTTGCCAAGGGGGAGGAGGGGTGGGGGAGGGAAGGATTGGGAGTTTGGGATTAGCAGATGCAAACTAGTATACATAGGATGGATAAACAACAAGGTTGTACTGTAGAGCACAGGGAACTATATTCAGTATCCTGTGATAAATCATAATGGAAAGAATATGAAAAAGAAAGTATATATATGTATAACTGAGTCACTCTGCCGTATACCTGAAATTAACATGACATTGCAAATCAACTATACTTCAATAAAAATTTTTTAAAATGCGTGTTTATTACTAAAAATTCACAATTTAATCTGTTGTTTGTGCTACGAGAAAAGCAGGGTTAAGTAAATGCATAGATGTGTCAGCTCTTATTTTAGTTCTAATATCAACTTTCTTCCTGATCAATTCTTTCTTTCTACAGATACTAATAACCATAAAAATGGATCAGTAAGTTATAAGTCCATTTTTTCCTTCTGCCTTGAACTCAAGACAGATAGAAAAGGATTCTAAATCCATCTGATTGATTTGCCAATAATGAAAATTTTCTTGAATAACTGAGTTAACTTTATTGGTAAGCCTTATGTAGTGCTGTTTTCTCTGGCATCTTTGAAGAATTAACTTTCCTTGTTTGGTTCCCTAGAAAGTTATATTGATTCCTTTTAACTGACCAGAATATGAAACAGTTATATTTTAATGGATTGCTTAGGGTTTTAGATGAGATCATGGATCTAACAACAGTTTAGAACTTTATTTCCTACTAATTTATTACTCCTACCCCAATAGAAGATATTAAATAATTCAAATAGAGTATTTACCTGGATCTAGATTGGCCCACTTCTTCAAGAATCATAGAAAAGTGCTTCCAAGTTTTCTTGGTGTGGAATGAGTGCACGACAAGTTTCTCTGAATCACCAAACAAAGATAGGAAATAATCCTCCCCTTCCCCAGTCACAGCTGGCTGAGAAGCAAGCACCGGCATAGTGTGTTTCTTTGGAAGTCTGAAGTTGTTGAGTCCTTTCGAAGAAACCAAAGAAGGAAACAATAGAGAGAGAAGTAAATAAAAGATTAAAAGAAACCAAAGCTACTATCTTTATTCTTTGCTTCTACAAAATGATATTCTTTATACATTTTACTGTCACAGTCAAACTAAGTGAGGATAGTTCGAAGCTTTAAACCAGTCTATAAAATAACCAGTAAGTGATTATTTTTAGTGACACTCAATTCCTAGAGATTATTGCAGTTATCTTAAACTATCAATTGTATCATCAGCATAATTACAATTTAACTGATTAAGTTGTACTACGAGCATCATAAGTTTTTGAGTAGGTAAAACATTTGAGTCTCTCAAATTTGGTACATTATATGTAAGTACAACTTTATTCTATTTTGTATTAGCTTTTCTCCCCAAATTGCTACTCATAAATTAAAGTCTCAAATGAGTCCTTTCCTACCAATGGTTTGTATTTTGCCAGGTAAAGACTTAAATTTCCTCTAATTAACTAAAATACTTTATTAAAAAGATAAAATAATGCTTAATCAGATTCTTGTAACCTCTTACTCTTTTAAAATTCTCAGTAGTAAGATTCAAATACAAAATAAGTTTCAAGACTTTGCATAGAAAGAATATGCTGGATAAATCTAATTATGTATCTGCAAAGAGAGAGTAACAGTACAGACAGGCATCATGATGAAATAGATAGAGCAATGTGTCTTGGATTTAGACACATCTGTACCCCAGCTCTGTCACTTACTAAGCCAAATGATTTAAACCTTCCAATTCTCAGTTTTCCTGAAAATAAAATAAGGATAATACTACTTTGTGTGAGACGATGTGAGAATTGAAGATAATATAGGTAAGTGTCTAGCACAGTATCTGGCATTTAGCAGGTACTCAATAAATGATAGCTATTATTGTAGCACAGGGACTTTGGTCAATGTGACCCTGAATCCAAAATCATCAAAGGATTAAGACAATCTAGAGTGTGCTTTATCTTCTTATGTCTTTAACAAAGCCAAAGCAATGTGAAAAGTGGAAAAAAATAAACATATAATTCCTAAAGAGGATTCCTCAGAGTATTTTGTTTAGAAGAAATATTTGGAATTAAGTTAGTTCATTCCCATTCAAGTAAGTATTTCCTTAATCTTTAAATTCCTTTGGGGGACGAGAATGTATAGCATCCTTAATAGCTCATCCTGAGGGATGAAAATCTTTGTATTCTAAAAGGAAAGAAGACACATTGATTTTAGTTCCAGTTACTATCTCATCTAGAAATGAAATGAACCAAATGCAACAAGTCTTGGTAGACTCAGCCATCTATCTACAGAGTCAGAACCTACAGTAACTGAAGAAGACTTCATCCCAGCACAACTCTCATCTTGCAAGGCGAAACCAGTATATCTGTTACCCCCCCCCCAAATACTAGGAGCTTTCACAGTTCAACTCAAATATAGAACATATACCATGATGATACAGTGCCAAAGGATGAGAAATATTACCTCCTTAGATATAAAATGTGTATTTTCACTTTTAAGCATATAGATTTTGGTCATCGCTAAAGGTCATTGTGAATTTAGGAGGCTTCTTCAAAAAATGTATCTTAAGCATACAAACAATGAAACACAGGGAATATGACAATAATGGCAGTAGATCAAAATCCTATATAACACTGTGTCAAAGGCTTAGGAAAATACCAGGAACAAAATGAAATGTAGATAGGAAGGAGCAAGGCTGTAAATGCCCACAGAATGGTAGAGGAAAATGAAGACATCAGGTAGTCATGGGTGTATTCGTGTTAACAATTTTGAAACTTGTTAGTTGACTGGTAATACAGACCCCAAATCTAGCCCATTCTATGAGAAGGTACTTACAGATACATTCGGATTCACAACTAATTTTATTGAGCACACTTACTATGTGCTAGGTGATTTTCATAAATATCTCATTTAATTCTTAGGATAGCCCTGTGAAGTTGATATTTTAATCCCCATTTTGTAGGTGTGGAAAATGGGACTCAGAGATGCTAAATACCTTACTTAATGTCCCATGTTATTGGGACTAGAAAGGGGGTTTGAACCTAGGTCCTCTGTTTCCAAGGGCAGTGGTCTTTTCAGTAAACCTTGATAACATACCCTCAGAGTTCCCTAAACATGGTGAGGAACATACACCTCATAGTGTGAGCACTGCTGAGTGCATTGTTGGCAACTGTCAAAACTTTACTGCCGTTTTCATTTTCCTCTCCTCCAAATTCTTTATTGTTTTTCCCTTTTCTCTCCACCATTTTATTACCTACTTTATGTTTCTTCTTTCTCTTATCTACCCGTCTTTCCTTACTTAAGCCATAGTCTCCTAAAGCATAACATACATAAGACATTGTTAATCTTTCTGGTAGCATTCAGAGGAAGAGCAGTTAATGCTATACATTAGTATTTTTAATCATTTAGCAATTCTAGAGCATCTAAGTGGTCAACCTATGAATTATTATGATAACTCAAGATACTTTAATCACAGAGATGATGTACTTGGCCACATATGTTTACGTGACTTGAATATGACTCCAGTGCTAGAATCAATGATGGGCAGAGTCAAGTTATTCTGCATATGACATTAAGAAATTAGTATTATTGGAGACAAATAATAAAACATCATTCTGGCTTCTAGGCACATAAAGACTCTATTGAACTATATGCTTTAAAAGTAGTCTAAAAAACTTGGTACATGTTTTGCTTACCCAAGCTGTCTTCTGATTGGGAATGGCTCACTAGATCAGGTTTAAGAGGCTTTGGTCCAGTTGTTGAAAAAGTTACTCCACTAACCTGAGGGCTGGACAGATAGTAACTGAGAGGTATTTCATTGGATAATGACCATGAACATGGCAGTGTAGTGGTATCTGAATCCATTGACGTTGGAAAAAAATGTACTAAAGATCGCTGTGTCTTTGGGAGATTGTCACGTGTGTCTTCAATTCTGTGTACAAAAATTAGTATAATAAACAAAGTGAGAAAGTCAAAATGATAGACTGTGAGCACAAGAAGCATTAATTATCATTATTACTCAGGGTTTTGCTTTTCAAAGATATTATGCATCTAACACAAGTGCAAGAACGTCTTATATTTCTAGTTTTAACAATCTAAATAAAACACTTTAGTGTCAAGTCATGCTTTTCTCTTTTCTATTTAAAAATCAATAAACTCCTACTTCAGACAGTTTTTCAAAAGTGTAAATGCTGAAAGAAGAAAATAAAAATTACTATATTCCACCAACTAAAAATTTTACCATTTCCTGCCATGCTTTTTATATTTTATTAAATTTTTTAATAAATTTTTTTTATTGAAATATAGTGATTTACAAAATTATATTAATTTCAGGTATACAACATAGTGATTCAATATTTTTTCCTTCCAGGCCTTTTAATGCATTGTTTTTGTTTTTTTTTCAGTACACGGGCCTCTCACTGTTGTGGCCTCTCCCATTGCGGAGCACAGGCTCTGGACGCGCAGGCTCAGTGGCCATGGCTCACGGGCCCAGCCGCTCCGCGGCATGTGTGATCTTCCCAGACCGGGGCACGAACCCGTGTCCCCTGCATCGGCAGGAGGACTCCCAACCAGTGCGCCACCAGGGAAGCCCTAATGCATTTCTTTCACTCAAAATTGAGACTCTATAAACCATTTATATCCCACTTTTATCACTTATTATATTTCCCCTTTCCATTAACATGAAAAACATGATTATCATTCCTGTTTAATATGTAATGGTTTACTATACTTTTTCCTTTAATTTCTCCTGCTGCTTAACTAATTTTCCTGTATTTATAAAGATTCTAGAGTTAATGTGTGCTTTCAAATGCACTTTACAAATTAATAACTATAAATACAGCTCACATGTGTATGTTTGTGTGTATCTGTGTATGTGTATGTGTGAATGCTGAAGGGACTAGCACAAAAGAGGGAGAAGAAAGACTTACTTTCCAAGTATTATTTTTGTAAGTAAATCCTACTATATGAATAAAGATTTTCCTTTCTTTCTTTTTTATAAATGTAAAAGTATAGTGTGCAAGCATTTAAACAAAATCCCTAAACTACAGTACACTTATTTTACAAGTAAAACAATATTCTCACAGAGTAGCTCATGAAAAGGCTTATGACAACTGCATTTTATGAGCCACATTGAGGCTCTTCTCAGTAACTTCAAAGCAATCCATGTGTGTGTGAATGTGTGTGTGTTTAATGCTTGAATTGTGAACAAAGTCCTGGGGTCCAACCCTTTAGCTCTCTGAAAAACCAGACACTTGGCCAGCCCAAGCCCTGCCTTCCTGGGGGCCAAACGTCTATCCACTATAAGTCAGGAACTAAGTGTTCTGCCTCCAAGCACTGTCTCTATTTTGATCTCTTTGTTTTCCAGAGTTCCTATAATGTTATTTTAGCCAGTCTTCTGTTCTTTGTTTTTGTTTTTCCAAATCTTTCCATAACGGAACAAGGGCCTGAAGCTTCCTAATCTGCCATCTTGCTGATGTTACTCTCAATCTCTTTGTTTACCAGGAGGTATTCACAATCGTTTTGTCCTATACTTTGTAAGTTCCTCCATCAGAAATATTATATCTGGAGAGCTCTGTATTCAAAATCAGAATTCTCTAAGTGTGCCTCTCACAAGGCACAGATATCTCAGGCAATTTTTAAAAATAATTAAATGGCATTGGCTTTGGAAATGGCATTATTATTAGCCCAGAGCTTATCAAGCTTGAGCACGTGCCATTCTACCGACTACCCAACCACTCATCTTTGTCAAAAACCTCTAACCCATGAAGATATGCTCTTGAGAATGACTGTGGTGGTAACGAAAAGGAGACTACAGAGGTCTATTGTCAAAGGACAAATATTTCATCTCTGTCTAAACTGATACAGATCATATGACATAATTTTTCCCTGACACTGTCTAGAATAAGCAGGAAAAGGACCTTTCTCTTTCAAAGTTCCGTACATCTGGGTTTCATTACAGACAACTGGCTACATCTTTTCAGCATGTTCATTTTATAAGCTCTGAATTTTTTTCTTCCACTGGTAAAACAATAGCATTTCCAAATAAATTTAATTCCACAAAAGATTCCCAATAAGCCTTTGCAAATGCTGTGATCAAAGAACTTCAGTTTAGGGCCACAGGGGATTCTTGTTTTTGTAGTTGAATAAGAAATTTCTAATGGCAGCACACACCATTGGAAGAGCTGAAACATTTCAGGAAGAGATGAGCGTGATGTAGCCCATTGTCTGAGCCCTGCACTCACCCACCTATTAGACTCCTTTTGGAAGACGAGAGATTTTCTTCCTAGTGCTTAGTGAGGTTTCCCTTTCCCATGTGGAATTTTCCAAGCCCTTACTTGGTATTTTGCTCCCTCTGTAATTGATTAGCACTAAACCAGAGGCAGTTATAAAAGTTCAATTCCAGCATTTCAATGTTATTTCAACGCTGCATTGGTAATACTGACAACAGTTATTTCTCAGATGACCTCTAAGAACAAATATTTAAAAAATAGACTTGAGGGAGATTGGTTCAAGATGGCAGAGTAGAAGGACGTGAGCTCACTCCCTCTTGCGAGAGCACTGGAATCATAACTAACTGCTGAAAAATCATCGACAGGAAGACACTGGAACTCAACAAAAAAGATACCCCACATCCAAAGACAAAGGAGAAGCCACAATGAGATGGTAGGAGTGGCCCAATCACAATAAAATCAAATCCCATGACTGCTGGGTGGATGACTCACAGACTGCAGAACAATTACACCACAGGAGTCCATCCACTGGAGTGAAGGCTCTGAGCACCAAATCAGGCTTCCCAACCTGGGGGTCTGGCAATGGGAGGAGGAATTCCCAGAGAATCAGACATTGAAGGCTAGTGGGATTTGATTGCAGGACTTGGACAGGACTGTGGGAAACAGAGACTCCACTCTTGGAGGACACACACAAAGTACTGTACACATCAGGGCCCAGGGAGAAGGAGAAGTGACCCCATAGGAGACTGAAGCAGACCAACCTGCTAGTGTTGGAGGGTGTACTGCAGAGGCAGGGGTTGGCTGTGGCTCACCGTGGGGACAAGGACACTGGCAGCAGAAGTTCTGGGAAGTACTCCTTGGCATGAGCCCTCCCAGAGTCCACCATTAGCCACACCAAAGAGCCTGGGTAGGCTCCAGTGCTGGATCGCCTCAGGCCAAACAACCAACAGGAAGGGAACCAACAGCCCTACCCATCAGCAGACAAGGGGATTAAAATTTTACTGAGCTCTGCCCACCAGAGCAACACCCAGCTCTACCCACCACCAGTCCTTCCCATGAGGAAACTTGCACAAGCCTCTTAGATAGCCTCATCCACCAGAGAGAAGACAGCAAAAGCAAGAAGAACTACAGTTCTGCAGCCTGTGGAACAAAAACCACATTCACAGAAAGATAGACAAGATGAAAAGGCAGAGGGCTATGGACCAGATGAAGGAACAAGATAAAACCCCAGAAAAACAGCTAAATGAAGTGGAGATAGGCAACCTGGCAGAAAAACAATTCAGAATAATGATAGTGAGAAGATCCAGGACCTCAGAAAAGAATGGAGGCAAAGATCGAGAAGATGCAAGAAATGTTTAACAAAGACCTAGACGAATTAAAGAACAAACACCTAGAAGAATTAAAGAACAAAGAGAGATGAACAATACAATAACTGAAATGAAAAATACACTAGAAGTAAACAATAGCAGAATAACTGAGGCAGAAAAATGGATAAGTGACCTGGAGGACAGAATGGTGGAATTCACTGCTGAGGAACAGAATAAAGAAAAAAGAATGAAAAGAAATGAAGACAGTGTAAGAGACCTCTGGGACAACATTAAATGCACCAAAATTCACATTATAGGGGTCCCAGAAAGAGAAGAGAGAGAGAAAGGAACCAAGAAAATACTTGAAGAGATTATAGTCGAAAACTTCCCTAACATGGGAAAAGAAATAACCACCCAAGTCCAGGAAGCACAGAGAGTCTGAGGCAGGATAAAGCCAAGGAGAAACATGCTGAGACACATAGTAATCAAACTGACAAAATTTAAAGACAAAGAAAAATTATTAAAAGCAACAAGGGAAAAATGACAAATAACATACAAGGGAACACCCATAAGGTTAATAGGTGATTTATCAGCAGAAACTCTGCAAGCCAGAAGGGAGTGGCATGATATATTTAAGGTGATGAAAGGGAAGAACTTACAACCAAGATTACTATACCCAGAAAGGATCTCAATTCAGACTTGATAGAGAAATCAAAAGCTTTACAAACAAGCAAAAGCTAAGAGAATTCAGCACCACCAAACCAGCTCTACAACAAATGCTAAAGGAACTTCTCTAAGTGGGAAACACAAGAGAAGAAAAGGACCTACAAAAAGAAACCCAAAACAATTAAGAAAATGGTAATAGGAACATACATAGCGATAATTACCTTAAATATGAATGGATTAAATGTTCCAACCAAAAGACACAGGCTTGCTGAATGGATACAAAACCAAGACCCATCTATATGCTGTCTACAAGAGACCCACTTCAGACCTAGGGACACATACAGACTGAAATTGAGGGGATGGATAAAGATATTCCATGCAAATGGAAATCAAAAGAAAGCTGGAGTAGCAATACTCGTATCAGATAAAATAGACTTTAAAATAAAGAATGTTACAAGAGACAAGGAAGGACACACATAATGATCAAGGGATCAATCCAAGAAGTAGATATAAAAGTTATAAATATATATGTACCCAACATAGGAGCACCCTAATACATAAGGCAAACTCTACCAGCTATAAAAGAAGAAATTGACAGTAACACAATAATAGTGGGGGACTTTAACACCTCATTACACCAGTGGACAGATCATCCAAACAGAAACTTAATAAGGAAACACAAGCTGTAAATGACACAATAAACCAGATAGATTTAATTGATATTTATAGGACATTCCATCCAAAAACAGCAGATGACACTTTCTTCTCAAGTGCACATGGAACATTCTCCAGGATAAATCACATCTTGGGTCACAAATCAAGCCTCGGTAAATTTAAGAAAATTGAAATCATATCAAGCATCTTTTCCAACCAAAATGCTATGAGATTAGAAATCAATTACAGGGAAAAAACATAAAAAACACAAACACATGGAGGCTAAACAATACATTACTAAATAACCAAGAGATCACTGAAGAAATCAAAAAGGAAATCAAAAAATACCTAGAGACAAATGACAACGAAAACACGATGATCCAAAACCTATGGGATGCAGCAAAAGCAGTTCTAACAGGGAAGTTTATAGCAATAAAAGCCTACCTCAAGAAACAAGAAACATCTCAAACAATCTGAACTTACACCTAAAGGAACTAGAGAAAGAAGAACAAACAAAACTCAAAGTTAGTAGAAGGAAAGAAATCATAAAGATCAGAGCAGAAATAAGTGAAATAGAAACAAAGAAAACAATAGCAAAGATCAATAAAACTAAAAGCTGGTTCTCTGAGAAGATAAACAAGATTGATAAAACTTTAGCCAGACTCATGAAGAAACAGAGGGATAGGACTGAAACCAATAAAATTAGAAATTATAAGAAGTTACAACAGACACCACATAAATACAAAATATCATACAAGACTATGACAAGCAACTCTATGCCAATAAAATGGACAACCTGGAAGAAACGGACAAATTCTTAGAAAGGTATAACTTTCCAAGACTGAACCAGGAAGAAATAAAAAATATGAACAGACAAATCACAAGTAATGAAATTGAAACTGTGATTAAAAATCTTCCAACAAACCAAAGTCCAGTACCAGATGGCTTCACAGGTGAATTCTGTCAAACATTTAGAGAAGAGCTAACACCAATGCTTCTCAAACTCTTCCAAAATTTGCAGAAGAAGGAACACTCCCAAACTCATTCTACAAGGCCACCATCACTCTGATACCGAAACCAGACAAATATACTACAAAAAAGAAAATTACAGACCAATATCACTGATGAATATAGATGCAAAAATCCTCAGCAAAATAGTAGCAAACAGAGTCCAATGACACATTAACAGGATCATCCACCATGGTCAAGTGGTATTTATCCAAGGGAGGCAAGGATCCTTCAATATACTCAAATGAATCAATGTGATACACCATATTAACAAATCGAAGAATAAAAACCATATGATCATCTCCATAGATGCAGAATAAGCTTTTGACAAAATTCAACACCGATTTATGATAAAAACTCTCCAGAAAGTTTGCATAGAGGGAACCTACCTCAATATAATAAAGGCCATTTATGACAAACCCACAGCAAACATCATTCTCAATGGTGAAAAACTGAAAGCATTTTCTCTAAGATCAGGAACAACACAAGGGCATCCACTTTTGCCACTATTATTCAACATAGTTTTGGAAGTCCTAGCCATGGAAATCAGAGGGGAAAAGGAAATAATACAAACTGGAAAAGAAGAAGTAAAACTGTCACTGTTTGCAGATGACATGATACTATATACATAGTATCCTAAAGATGCCACCAGAAAACTACTAGGCTAATCAATGAATTTGGTAAAGTTGCAGGATACAAAATTAATGCACAGAAATATCTTGCATTCCTATACACTAACAACGAAAGATCAGAAAGAGAAATTAAGGAAACAATCCCATTCACCATTGCTACAAAAAGAATAAGATACCTAGGAATAAACCTACCTAAGGCAGTAAAAGACCTGTTCTCAGAAAATTATAAGGCACTGATGATAAAACCAAAGATTACACAAACATATGGAGATATACCATGTTCGTGGATTGGAAGGATCAATATAGTGAAAATGACTATACTACCCAAAGCAATCTTCAGAGTCAATGCAATCCCTATCAAATTACCACTGGCATTTTTTACAGAACTAGAACAAAACATCTTCTAGACACAAAAGACCCCATACAGCTAAAGCAATCTTGAGAAAAAAAAAAATGGAGCTGGAAGTATCAGTCTCCCTGACTTCAGACTATACTACAAAGCTACAGTAATCAAGACAATATGGTACTGGCAGAAAAACACAAATAGAGATCAATAGAACAGGGTAGAAAACCCAGAGATAAACCCATACACCTATGGTCAACTAATCTATGACAAAGAGGCAAGGATATACAATGGAGAAAAGATGGTCTCTTCAATAAGTGCTGCTGGGAAAACTGGACAGTTACATGTAAAAGAATGCAGTTATAACACTCCCTAACACCATACACAAAACAAACTCCAAATGGATTAAAGACCTAAATGTAAGATCAGACACTATAAAACTCTTAGAGGACAACATAGGAAGAACAGTCTTTGACATAAATCACACCAACATCTTTTTTGACCCACGTCCTAGAGTAATGGAAATGAAAACAAAAATAAACAAATGGGACCTAATGAAACTTAAAAGCTTTTGGACAGCAAAGGAAACTATAAACAAGATGAAAAGCCAACCCTCAGAGTGGGAGAAAATATTTGCAAACGTATCAACAGACAGAGGATTAATCTCCAAAATATATAAACAGCTCATGGAGCCCAATATTAAAAACAACAAACAACCCAGTCAAAAAATGGACAGAAGGCCTAAATAGACATTTCTCCAAAGAAGACATACAGATGGCCAATAGGCACATGAAAAGCTGCTCAACATCACTAATTATTAGAGAAATGCAAATCAGAACTACAATGAGGTATCACCTCACACTGGTTAGAATGGGTATCACCAGAAAATTTACAAACCACAAATGCTGGAGAGGGTGTGGAGAAAAGGGAACACTCTTGCACTGTTGGTGGGAATGTAAACTGATACAGCCACTATGGAGAACAGTATGGAGGTTCCTTAAAAAACTAAAATTATAATTACCATACGACCCAGCAATCCCACTACTGGGCATATACCCAGAGAAAACCATAATTCAAAAAGACATATGCACCCCAATGTTCAATGCACAACTATTTACAATAGTTAGGTCATGGAAACAACCTAAATGCCCATCGACAGATGAATGGATAAAGAAGATGTGGCACACATATACAATAGAATATTACTCAGCCATAAAAAGGAATGAAATTCAGTCATTTGTAGAGACGTGGTTGGACCTAGAGACTGTCATATAGAGTGAAGTAAGTCATAAAGAGAAAAACAAATATCGTATATTAACGCATATATGTGGAATCTAGAAAAATGGTACAGATGAACTGGTTTGCAAGGCAGAAATAGAAACACAGATGTAGAGAACAAATGCATGGACACCCAGGGGGGAAAGCGGGGGGTGGGGATTGTGATGGTGGTGGGATGAATTGGGAGATTGGGATTGACATATATACACTAATATGTGTAAAACAGATAACTAATAAAAACACTTAAAAAAAATAGACTTGAGGGCTTCCCCGGAGGCGCAGTGGTTGAGAGTCCGCCTGCCAATGCAGGGGACACAGGTTCGTGCCCCGGTCCGGGAAGATCCCACATGCCGTGGAGCGGCTGGGCCCGTGACCCATGGCCGCTGAACCTGTGCGTCCGGAGCCTGTGCTCTGCAACGGGAGAGGCCACAACAGTGAGAGGCCCGCGTACCGCAAAAAAAAAAAAAAAAAAAAATAGACTTGAACTGATCAGTAAACACAGGGCATCTAGATCTAAAGTAACATTAGCCTTAAACTGTATATATTCAATATTAGAGATCATTTTCTAGAAAACATTGGAAAACCAATGCTAATGCTTTATTTGATAGAATGATTTACATTAGTAGTAAAAAGAGAGTTGTAGCTTTTATTTAACATCCTCACGGACATTTCCCAAACCAAAATTCTCTAGCAGTTCTCTGTCCCCAGGTTAATAAAGTAGTTTTAAAGAAACTGTCTGCCAATTACCTTAAAGAAACAATTAACATGCTAGATATGAGCTTCGGAATCTCAACCAGGTCTGATATGATGGAGATCTGTCTAGGTGAATTTTTTCATTACTCAAAGACTATACCTTATAAAACAGTGGTTGGGGAAATTGTATGTTATCATTAATTAATTTTAGGAAATTTGTAGACTCGATTCTAGTTCTAACTTTTTATAAGCTGTTTTGAAACAAAGAGGTCAAATACTCCAACCTCAACTTCTAAAACTCATTTGTGCCTTTCTTACTGTGCTTGATTTTCCATTTTATCTTCCTGCTCATGGACTTCACTCTGCAGGACCGCCAAAATTTCCTGAGTGGCTTGTGTGTCTTTCATCTTGGCTGGAAGAGAAGTCTCTTTTCTTTTCTGGGAAAACAAATCATGACATTAGTCAGTGAATAGAGCTGAGTTTCAAGGCAGATTTTCTTTTTTGAGTGACCTCACTTGTTAATCTAACTACCTTAAAGCACCTGCCAGACTTCATGATTTCTTAACCAAGCTGGGGCCAGAACCAGGAATCTAATATGAATATGTAAGCACTGATATAGCCAATACTGATATAGCCAATACTGATACTGGCTAAAAATATTAAACAAATCAAGATGAAGGTGTGTAGCACTCACTGGAAGCAACTCAAGAGGCAGCGCAGTAAGCCAGCAATGCTACCTTTATGATTACAACTTTCACATCTGGCCAACACCGCCTGCTAGAACACTGTGAAGTAATGTCTCCATAGTTACAAAGTTCCAGTCTCTGAACAATTACTATGTTAATGCTGCACCTGCTTTGCAGTTTGCAGACATCAAATAAGAGTAACTTGCTTTTAAGAGAGCTGTTTATCCTACCAGACAAACTGTGCCATCAAAATGTTTGATATCCTATTTTGGATTTCTTAGGATTAAGGCTAGTATGCAAATATTGGGGGAGTTAATCACTGTTTTTTGTCTTTTTGTTTGTTTTGTTTTGACAAATGCTCTTTGAGCACATGGCAACAGCTAGGCAGCAGGAACAGAAAACTTGTATATTTTAAGGCGAAAAGAAACCTATTGGTAGAAACAGTGAAATCAAAGCCAGGAGTTCTAAATTCTTCTAGTTACACCAGCAATATGATTTAGAAGAAATCACTTAATTCAGATTCTATCTTGAGTAAAAGATCCACACAATGTGTCATGATAATAATGGCATGGGAATAAAATTAACCCGTATGAAAGTAAATGATTGTACAGAGTAATAAGATATAGAATGATGATGATTACTGGATGAGTAAGTTCATTCAATAAATATTTAAATAAGCATCTACTGTGCACCAGGAACCAGCAAGTTACTATGAACAAATAATTCCCACTTCAAGGAATAATGATAAAATATCTTCCAATTTAGATTAGAAAATGGCTTCCAAAAAACTAAAAATAGATCTACCATATGACACAGCAATCCCTCTACTGGGCATATACCCTGAGAAAACCATAACTCAAAAAGAGTCATGTACCACAATGTTCATTGCAGCTATATTTACAATAGCCAGGACATGGAAGCAACCTAAGTGTCCATCGACAGATGAATGGATAAAGAAGGTGTGGCATACATATAATGGAATATTACTCAGCCATAAAAAGAAACGAAATCGAGTTATTTGTAGTGAAGTGGATGAACCTAGAGTCTGTAATACAGAGTGAAGTAAGTCACTTAGAGAAAAACAAATACCATATGCTAACACATATATATGGAATCTAAAAAAAAAAAAAATGGTCATGAAGAACCTAAGGGCAGGACAGGAGTAAAAGACGCAGACCTACTAGAGAATGGACTTGAGGACACGGGGAGGGGGAAGGGTAAGCCGGGACGAAGTGAGAGAGTGGCATGGACATATATACACTACCAAATGTAAAATTGATAGCTAGTGGGAAACAGCCACGTAGCACAGGGAGATCAGCTCGGTGCTTTGTGATCACCTAGAGGGGTGGGATAGGCAGGGTGGGAGGGAGACGCAAGAGGGAGGAGATATGGGGATATATGTGTATGTATGGCTGATTCACTTTGTTATAAAGCAGAAACTAACACACCATTGTAAAGCAATTATACTCCAATAAAGATGTTCAAAAAAACCCATAAAATATATAGATGTATATCTTAAAAAAAAAGGAAAATGGCTTCCATCTTGGAATGATGAACAGTATTTAAATACAAATGACAATGAATAAAGTAACTTTTAATAAAAGAAAAAGGCAAGAAGTATATCACATAATGAGGCAAGTAAACGAGAGGAGAGTAAACATTTGACTATTTTCTTCATCTCAGAGATAAAGAGAAATTCCTTATCAGTATTATAGGCCAATTGCATAAATACAGCATAAAGAGATTTATAAATTTATACTTATGTTTAGAAAAGAATTAAAAATGGATTTATTATTTCGTGCCACTGTCCCAGTTTCCCTAAATCTACCTGTCTGGATGGTTTCCTAGCTGTAAAAATTTCTGTACTTGAACCACATATGTTAGCATGATGTCATTATGACCTCATTTGTTTTATCAGAGCACCTATCCATATTTTCCAGCATAGTTTGGAGAAACAAAATTCTGTCAACTGAGAAAAACTTTGAAAAGCTTTGAAATTGTGAACGTTTCAATAGTTATTTCCCACACAGGATATTTTCCTTATTTCCCTTCTCCAAATTAGAGCATATATGCAATTAAAATCAATTTCCTCTTTTACTGCTTCTCAAACTAAGCCAGTGGTTTTCAAAAGGAGTTGAAGTGAATCATAGGGGGAATTTTGTAAATATGAAGGGACATTAATAGTAGTCATAAAGATTTGCTGGGGTGCTAACTGGCATTTAGCAGACAGGATCCAGAAATGCTAGATTTTCTGAAATGTGGCAGATAATCCTACTTGGCAAAGAATTTTCCCACATACCACATGACTTGCCAGACATTCATGTAGATGAAAAATAGTTTATAATTATTTGAGCCTAAAGCCTAGCTCCATATTACATATAAATGCAAAATATTTTTGTACACTTTTAATTATTTTGTACACAATTACTTACATTGAGGGAAGATTATAGATTGGTTTGTTCAGACCTTTTCCAATAATTTTTCATCAGTTTGGAAAAATTACATCATCAATGGCAATACCACTCGGTGTATTCATGTGGCTGTTATAACTTATCTGATATAGGTAATAACCGTAGCAACAATAACAAAATCAACCTGAATCTGATGAATCCTCTAACTTACATAAAATACAGAGAACAGAAAAGCACGTTAGCTAATAGATCAAGAGATTTAAAAGACACCCTTTGTCATTTGTGGATATAATTTATAACCTAATTCAAGCAAACTGTAAAACATGCGTGACATTGGAAATTTAAGTACTCTGGATATTCAATGATATTAGGAATAAATGTTAAATATTTAAGGTGTATTACGGTATTATGATTGTATTTTTTAAACAAGATTCCTTGTTGTTTAGAAATACATACTGAAACATTTAGAGATAAAATGATACGATGTCTAGATTTGCTTCAAAATAATACAGAGGGTAGGGAGTGGATGGAGTTGTGGATGAAAAAATGATGGAATTGACTTGTAATAGTTGAAGCTAGATAATGGGTACTGGAGGTTTGTTATACATCATGTTTATTTTTTCTATAAATGTTTGAAATTCTCTGTTGTAAAAAGGGAGGATCAGGGCTTCCCTGGTGGCGCAGTGAGAATCTGCCTGCTGATGCAAAGGGCCGCGGGTTCGAGCCCTGGTCTGGGAGGATCCTACATGCCGTGGAGCAAGTACGCCCGAGAGCCACAACTACTGAGCCTGCGCGTCTGGAGCCTGTGCTCTGCAACAAGAAAGGCCACGACAGTGAGAGGCCTGCGCACCGCAATGAGGAGTGGCCCCCACTTGCCACAACTAGAGGAAGCCCTCGCACAGAAACGAAGACCCAACACAGCAAAAATAAATAAATTAATAAACTCCTACCCCCAACATCTTCTTTAAAAAAAAAAACGGAGGATCATTTGGGAATGTGTAGACTCCACACATTGATAGCATCATCTTCATGGCTGTCTCTAATTCAGGAAGGACAGAGTTAAGATAGAGCTAAGGGGGCTTCCCGGGCTTCCCTGGTGGCGCAGTGGTTGGGAGTCTGCCTGCCGATGCGGGGGACGCGGGTTCGTGCCCCGGTCCGGGAAGATCCCACATGCCGCGGAGCGGCTGGGCCCGTGAGCCATGGCCGCTGAGCCTGCGCGTCCGGGTCTGTGCTCCGCAACGGGAGAGGCCGCAGCGGTGAGAGGCCTGCGTACTGCTAAAGAAAAAAAAAAAAAACAAAAAAACAAGATAGAGCTGAAAGCAGAAAAGCAGAGAGCAGAAAAGCAGAAACACTTACTGTTTATGAGGTTCAGTAGCCTTCACACAGGTTCTTTTACCACAGCTCTGGAAGATGGGAGTCTCCCCATTTTCCCAAATGAGGAAGTGGAAGTTCAGAGAGGTGAATACCTCTTCCAAGGTTATATGGTCAATACATGGCAGAGCCGGGATTTGGTCTCACATCCATTTGTTACAAAATCCCCTTCACGGGCTTCCCTGGTGGCGCAGTGGTTGAGGGCCCGCCTGCCGATGCAGGGGACACGGGTTCGTGCCCCGGTCTGGGAAGATCCCACATGCCACGGAGCGGCTGGGCCCGTGAGCCACGGCCGCTGAGCCTGTGCGTCCGGAGCCTGTGCTCCGCAACGGGAGATGCCACGACAGTGAGAAGCCTGCGTACCGCAAAAAAAAGGGGGCTTCCCTGGTGGCTCAGTGGTTGAGAGACCGCCTGCTGATGCAGGGGTCACGGGCTCATGCCCCGGTCAGGGAGGATCCCACATGCCGCGGAGCGGCTGGGCCCGAGCCATGGCCGCTGAGCCTGCGCGTCCGGAGCCTGTGCTCCGCAACGCGAGATGCCACGACAGTGAGAGGCCCGCGTACCGCAAAAAAAAAAAAAGGGGCTTCCCGGGTGGCGCAGTGGTTGAGAGTCCGCTTGTCGATGTAGGGTACACGGGTTCGTCAGGGCACCTGGGTTCGTGCCCCGGTCAAGGAGGATCCCACATGCCGCGGAACAGCTGGGCCCGTGAGCCATGGCCGCTGAGCCTGCGCGTCCGGAGCCTGTGCTCCGCGACGGGAGAGGCCGCAGCGGTGAGAGGCCCGCGTAGCGAAAGAAAAAAAAAAAAAAATCCCCTTCACTATACTCCCTGTTTCTCTGCTGTAATTCCTGTCCAATGTCTTCCTAGCTCCTTCCATGGTAACTGCCTAACCATTTACCTACTCCCGAACCAGCTTTGTCCCTTTCTTTCTCTTTGCACTGGTCTCAAATCACTCTCTCCCAACTTCCGGACCCTGTGTCATTTCTCTTTGGCCTTATCCTCTATTGGGAGAACACCAGAATTTTGCATGAGAAATTGAAGCCCCATAAGAGTAGATATAGGGCAAAATAAGATGATGAAAACTGAGTTTTATATTATGAGCTTTTACCTTGATTAAGAAAAAATTAAAAGTGGCAAAATACCAACATATTCAGTAATCAAAAAAAACCCCAAAATATTATATGTCCATAATTTTTTAAAAGTTGAAAAACACAAAGAACTGGCTTTATGCATCCTGGACCTCTGTCTCCACATATGGAGAACATTTGCACAGTAGGGGATTTTTTAAATTAAATCAGTAATATAAATAAAATGTCTTGTGTGAATGAAGGTTGTATATATAAAGAGAATTTTCTTCCTCTCTCAGGCCATGGGTGGAAATTTCCAAACTGAGTAATATGCAATTGAAGATTACAATTTAAAACATGACATGTTCCACTAAGATTCAAAGAGTTTGTATATATAGGAATACAGTTTCACATTTGCACCCATATTATAGTATAAATTCCTATTGTGAAGCATCTTACTAGTCTAAAAATATACTGTATTTCTTCATTTCCTTCACACAGAACCACGTGTAAATAACACAGCCTTGAACAGAGATGCTATTATTTCACCTTGACGTCAGGGTCATGTGAAGGTCCTACAGGACGTGTTCACAGAGAGGATAAAGGACCACTTATTGGGAGGTTCGAGTTTCAGATTGCTTGCTCAAATACCTTCATGGCCCTTCCCAATCACAAAATTCTATTGCCAAACAGCACTAAGAACGTCTGCATACGTGATACTAAACGTCAAACAGTGGTTTGAATCCTCAGACATACGTACCAGTTTTAGCAATGGTTCATAAATAACTGCATGGTTACTTCACACACAGGGTACATGTACTGAGGCTCAGCCTTTATCCACGAATCATTTCTACACATGTTCTTTAGAGGAATAAAATACTTATTCTAAGACAGGGCATCTCAGACTTTTTCAGAAAGGCAGAGATCCAGAACATACGCTCTTATTTGCAGAACCCCATTTTCCTGTAAAATACTTAAAAAAATACAAATCAATATATTTTTTACTTCATCTACACACCGTTTTTATATATTTTTACTAGCAACAAGAAATGCACTTCATATTATTTGGATACCATGTAAACTCATAACCACCGGCTCACACATTTTAAAACAAAATAAAACACCCAACAAACTGTTGAGCCAAGAATAAACGATTGGTTTTGAGTTTTCCTATGGATATGAATTTGCAGTTTCAGTTTCTTCTCTCATCGACTGGCAACCTTAAGCAGAAAAGTGGTGTCTGGAGCCAAAGACTTGTAAAAAAGGATTGGAGAACAATTTCAATTGAGAACATGCGATCCATTAACTTTTTTTCTTTTGCACACAGGGTAAAGGCGATCATTACTCAATATTACAGTCGAACGCTCCCTCTCTACAGCTTATGGAACACTAGTGCCCCGTGGGAACAAGTACGAGCAGCAGTGGATTAAAGGAGTATGAAAGAGAGTTATTAGAAGCCTGAATGTGAGCCCTACCCATGGCACCAGGCACAAATATAAGACTGAATGGAGCCTGGCTCAGCTCACTGTGGAAGCACACCCAGGCAAGGAGGGGCCTCAACCCTTCTTCCCTGGTTAGGGCACACGTAACAAATTTGATCAGTTGTAGTTACTGCCAGCATTATTCATGACTGATGATGGCAATAGGTGGCAATGAGGGGTACAGTTCACTAAGGGTGGATTCGTTACTCTTGAGACCCCCCCTGATAGTTCTGTCTACATAAATGAAGCTGCTTTCATTATTCTCCCGACAGTTTGAAGTACAAGCAAATTTAAACTGGTAAATTAAAGTTGGCTAGCAGCTTTTCTCCTCATGTGCAAATGAGAGAACAGAAGAAATTGAGAGGCTCCTAAGGATATTAAGGACCCCGAGGTTCACGTTATGTCTTTTGCAAGAAAAGGACACCTCTAACCTTCACTAGGAACAGAAAATAAATTATCAGGGTGGAAAATACTGTACCTGAAGTTACCCTGTGTCATTTGTTTGAGACCCTGCCTGTTAGAAAGAGGCGAGAAACCAGACATCTGAGATGGAACGAGAAAATTCATGCAGTGTGAGGGAACGGAACTCTCTAACCTTTGGCCACATGTAGATTAGTTTGTAGGAGAAGAAAGACAAGCTGGACATTTTTATACACTGGAGATTTTCATTGGCTGTTCTATTATCCTTAGTTTTGTTGTTATTGTTCTGTGTTCATGTTTGTTTCTCCCTTATTTTCTGAGTAAATGCTTTTACAATTCAGAGCCATAATCAAGAGTGAATACTACTACTACTAGCTATCATTTAACATATATTTCCTATTTGTGTTAAGTACTCTGTGTATATTATTTCATTTCATCCTTTTAAGGATGTGTAATTATCCGTCTTTCACAGATGATGAAACTGACACTTATAGAGTCAGATAACTGCCCAGAGTCACACAGCTATGAAGTGGCAGAACCGGGGCCAGAGTTCAGGTCTGTCTGACTCTAGAGATTGTATTCTTCATCATTATACTCCATCATTCTCTGAAAAATACAGAGCACCACTGTTTAAAAGACTATTGGACAGGGCTACCCTGGTGGTGCAGTGGTTGAGAGTCCGCCTGCCGATGCAGGGGACGCAGGTTCGTGCCCCGGTCCGGCAAGATCCCACATGCCGCGCAGCGGCTGGTCCCGTGAGCCGTGGCCGCTGAGCCTGCGCGTCCGGAGCCTGTGCTCCGCAACGGGAGAGGCCACAACAGTGAGAGGCCCGCGTACCGCAAAAAAAAAAAAAAGACTATTGGACAAACACTCTATAATGATATAAATAGGTGACAGCCATGTTCCTTGCTCTTCTGAAATTTATTGTTTTGATGGGGCAGTAGTATCTGTGAATATGAAAAAATAATGCATGACAGAATGTGATAAAAATCAAAGGATAGTTCTGTTAAGAACTAGAAGAACTCAGGGAAGAATTAGTACTTTTGCTGTTGTGGTTAGAAAAGACTTCACAGAAGAGATGAGATATGTGTGGACCTCAAAGGATAGACAGGATTTGGAAAAGCAGAGAACAGGAAGGAAGGCATTTATTATCTTATATTTTCATGCATGTGTTCACTCAACAAATACATATTAATTGTCTGTTGTGACTAGACAGTGTTGAATGTACTTTTCTGGCGAGCATCAAAATCCAGGGGTAGACATGGGGTAGGCATATTAATGGCTGAGGCAGAGAGATGGCCTGGGTGTGCAGTCCTAGGTAGAGTCAGATAGATAGGGGAGACCAGATCAGGGAGGGCTGTGAACCAGGCCAAGGAGTAGAATATATTCTCAGTATGCATTATCTAGCCATTTACTTGTTCCTAATGGCTCAATAATTATATTAATTACTGGATATTTCAGGAGTTTCTTGCTTCTATTTGTATGTAAGAATGTGTGTGTATGTTTTTCTTTTCCTTTTGTTTTTGGATTTATGGGAGTTCTTTATTTAATCCAGATCAAAGTTCTTTGCTGGATTTATGTATTACAAATATATTCTCTCAGATTGTAATTTGTCTTTTTACTCTCTGAAAGGTGCATTTTATGACTAGAGATTCTTGATTTTAATGAAGTCCAATTTATCAATCTTTTCTCTTAATGACTTTGTGTCCTATGTAAGAAATATTTATTTAAATTGAGGCCATGGAAATATTAGACTATTTTTTCTCCTGC